AGGGTTGATTTCTCATTTTGTCTAGGGTACTCAACTAAAGCTCTTTTGCTCACCTGATCCCGGCTCCCACAGCAGTCAGCACTCACCTCACTACCCTCCGCCCCAGCTGTAGAATGTCCCTCGATGCCCTCACGGCAAATGCTGGTCAATGGATCTGCATTAGACATGATGAGGTCAGCAGTCCTTATGCCGCCGGCATCCAGGGGAAGAAGAGGCTGCAGGGACAGGTCTAGCAGAAATCCAGGGTCAGGTAAGTCTTCTTTATTCCCTCCCCTAGACCACGAGCACTTAACCCTTGGAGTGCAGAGGTAGCACCACTGCGAGGGTATGGTTTTTATTTGCCGGAGTTCTTTTATAAATGAAGCTTTTACTTTCACATTAATAGAACTGTAGAGCAAAAGACTAATCTCCCGGCCCGGCCTGCTCGGTATTGACAGGTCAATTCTGGCACATTTATTTCCATTGTTAGCTTGCCTGAGCTCCCGGCTTCTGACTGAATCATAAGAGAACTGCGATTGACATGAGGGAAGGAAAGAGGGGGGGGGCATGCTATTACACTCCACGGGCTGCTACTCTCGGCTCAGAGTCAATAGGATGGCGCCATGAAGAAGAAGATTGGGGCACCAGACTCTACAATTCACAGCCCTTGGATCATCTTCACGTACAGTTTCAAAAAGCAATTTCAGCAAACGATGGAAATCAGCCAATGAGCTACTAATGCTTGGCAGGAAAACTGCAACAGTACTAAAGCAAAAGAGATCTGAATGAGAAGCAGTGATGACTGGGATTTTGTAAGAATCTGATTTTTTTGGATATATTGTGCAGATGTACATGTTTCACCTTCTATCCTTCGAAAGCGCTCATTGAACTCGAGCCATACTTTTCATTTCCCACAAACGTGCGTCTCCACAATACAACCCTTTGAAGCTGCAGCAGCTATCTTCATTTCCTGTCTGAACCACCTCCATTAATCCCCCCCTCCGCACTGCAAGGGTTAACTGTTCATTTTGGTTTAGGGCTGAAAATGACAAATTTATACTGACCTGCGGCCAGTAGTGACAGCGCTCCCTCCAGCTTGTCTACTCCTCTGCTGCAGCGATGGTTTGTCCCTCTGCCTCCACTTTGTGTATATAATGTCATGATTTACGGGACCTTAGACCGCTGCAGCAGAGGGGGAGCGAGGTTCCAGGGACCAGTCAAGAAAGCAAACTGGCTTCAAGGATCAGGTGAGTATAACTTTATTTTCCTCTAGACACAAATGAGCAGTTAACCCTTGCAGTGCGGGGGTAGCCCCACTGCAAGGCTTAATCCTTTTCCCCGGAGTTCTTCTTTTAAGTGAACCTGTCGCTTCGTCTGTGCGGTCAAAACTTAGAGCACGTAAAACAAAGTCAATGTTGATGATGGAAGGAAAAGCTGGCAGCCAGTCATGTGACCCGTGGGACTGTTGTCTAGCCCAACACTGGTCGCATGACCAGCTGACAGAGGGAGACCAGACAGTAGTTACTACGGCAACAGCCCGTCCTTCTCCCCATCATTTGCTTACATCACGCAGTTTGAACTTTCAGCCAAAAAAAAGAAAAAGTGACTTTCATTTAGAGTTCAGGCCCGCTTTAAATAATGCCCCCAGATTGAGAGAAATGATGTTTCAAGCCGCCGGCATTTGACAGAGTGTGCAATTTTAATGGAATGATGGCGGCACCGCGCCATATTTCAAGCCGTAATTTCACTCATGATCGCCGCGCTATTAGCGACTTTTCATTTTAACCGGGGCGGGAAAGAACAAAGAGCAGAATAATAACACCGATCTCATTTCAAGCTTCCGCGGTCTAATTAAAAGGTAGTCGCGGACGCGAGGAACTTCGTGAGAAATGTGACAATAAAATCCATAATTAGAATTTTCGGCTGCTGGATCTCGGAAAATAAAACATATGCTCGCCCGCCAATTCACCGAAACCTCCAGAAAATCCGTCACCGGCGGCACATTCCTTTATGAATGAAATGTATTTGAATAATTGAAATATAAAAAGAAAAAAAAAAAAAGGGAAACAAAAATACTACCGGCCATGTCTGGAATACAAGGTCAAAAGCCGACAGCCGTTCATTTCATGGGACTGGTAAAACAAAAATTATATAAAAAGGGTATCAGAGAGAGAGAGAGAGAGAGACAAAAAAAGGCCAGTAAAAAACAGTACATGTTGCTGCCAGAGGAAGAGACCCAGGACCAAAGGACGTCTCATGAAGTATCCTGGAACTAAGAGGACTTCAGGAGTGTGGTCCATGTCTTTCCTGTTGAGGATCTATATGATCTATATTCATCCTTGCCCATCTGCTACTTCAGTTGCTATCCGCTGCCTTCCAAGTGGATCTACACTGAGATGCCAACCAGGTCTGGTGACTCTGGAGTCTATTACCCCCTGAAAGCTTAGAAGCCCAATACCCTCTCTCCCCAGTGAAGATGTCCAATAAAAGTTATCCTGCATTATACTACTGGAGTGGACATCAGCTATTGTGGGCACTAGAAGAAGGGCGGTTAATGCTAATGGGTGGACTAGAGATGATTCGGGCATCCAGCGGCTCCTTCGGGGGTGAGTGCTACAGGTCCTTCTGAGAATAGCTTGTTACTAATAATGTGCATCTGAGAACGCCACAAGAAAGCTTTTCATATTGCAATAAAAGAAGGCAGTTTCCTAACAGCGCCCAGTACGTCCTTGCAAAAAAAAAAACCTGGAAAGCATTCCGGGGTGCATCACTCTGGAAGGCTTTGGGGTTCTGGTATAATCAAACGCATTTTTAAAACCTGCTCGCTGAAACGTTCTGCCCATACAGCAGCTGCGCTCCTACCAGGAAGCGATCCAGCTCCATTAAAGAGAGAAAACAGCTGTATGGCTGCCACACAAACAGAGGCTGAGCGGAACATCATCTGCATCCCGCCAGTGCAGCCTTCCAGAGCCTGCAGAAAGAAGAACCCCGCCACCCGATCTGCTTTCTACACGAGAAGAAAAGTCATTATGTAAATATAAGTGACTGTCAGAGCCAAATGACCGTGACATAAAGGGGTACCCACACCGCGTTTATGATGGGGTGTTGAAACCTGAAATCGTAATCTCTCTCTCATATATATATATATATATAAACACACACACACATACATACACAGAATATCTCCCTCCTCTCATAACGTAGGGGGTAGGTGTTATGTAGTTCACGGAGGTGAACTGCAAAGGGCTGATAACAACGTTAGAGATTTCAGTGCAGGACATGCGCAATGCGCAAAAAGTTACAAGCTCATTGGACTTCTGGTAGGAGGGGCCGGCAGGGTGCTGCACATAGCTTTCTGAAAACATCACAGCACCTGCCTCCGTACTCCTGTCAATAGTGCTCAGTCCTGATGCAAGCAGTGGGCTGGCTTTTGGGAGGAGTTATGCAAATATCTGAATGTATTGAGGAGTGGATGTCAGTCTGGGGAATTGGGGATTCTTAGGCAGGCTGTATTTGCATGCAGAGCACACTAGGTATCTCCCACATGTGACACTGAGCCTTCATGATTGGAATCCAATGAATGAAAGGGGCGGGTCACGGTCAGGCTGGGGAGGAAAGCACTAGATCAGGGGTAGGCAACCTCGGCTCTCCAGCTGTGGTGAAACAAAATCCCATGAGGCATTGCAAGATTCTGACAGCCATAGGCATGACTCCTAGAGGCAGAGACATGTTGGGATTTATAATTAAAGCACAGCTGGAGAGTCAGGATTGCCTACCACTGTCTTAAGTGTTAATTTAAGTCTATCCTTAAGGTATAACCATCCCTAACTATATATCACATGTACTGTATATGTATCAAATCAATGCAAAGCTATCGTGCATCGCACTGGCTGACATGAGGCATATTATGGACGCATGGAAGCTGAGCTGTCGAGCGCTCCAGTGGAAAAGAATAAGACTAACAATTTAAGTAGAAGCGCGGATACATAAAAAAAAAAAAAAGGGAAAACAACAACATAATAATTATGGACGTTAGAACAAGAGCGAGATATCTATATCTCAGTGCTGAACCCTCCCAGGAGATCTGTATTGGGAAGCAGGCGGTTGCATTACAGAAAAGAAGTTTAATTTAATTTATTGGATGTAATTCTCCGGAGAGCTCATTTGAAAATACGGCCTCGTTTATTAGTGAATATTCTCCTGCTGGGCGGGTTATAATT